CTTGGTCAAAACAAGAACCAAAACCGTATTTTTGCTGGTCCTCCGTAGGAGATATGTCAGTGATTAAAAGCAACATGCTTGTTTTAATAACGTGTATTTCAACAAAATCCCTGCAACTTTAAATCTAAATGTAATTTAGTGTTATTTTGTGTTTATTTTTGTTTTTCAAAGCAGGTGGCAGACATTTGTATAATGCTGCTTAGTCCTGTAGCTACATATCCATAGGAGTTACATGTTTAATTCTTTAGTGCTGCAGTAGTTCTGCCTCTCTGTTCAGTCCTATGCATTGGTGTATCTTCTCCGTTTTATTGAATTGTGTGCAGAACATAAAGTCATTTAAGTAAACATGCAAAACAGTTGATCTAAACTGACCTAGACGGAGGAAAGTCATCTAATAGACAGCAGAGGATCAAACTCATTGTTGTAACTGTTTGATGGATGTCCTTTTTTCCCAAAAAAGAATTAGTAACATCTTAGATGAAACTGTTTGCCTGAACTCACTGGTCACTTTTGCTGTTGAAATCAACCACAAAGAGTTAAAACTTTTATTCCTAGTATATTTTTGCTGAATTTATCACAATGAATGTAGAAATCTGCGTTTTTGGCTGTAAATCAATGCCTGCAGACAGTCAAAGCCACATAAACAAATGATGCTGTAATCAATGTAAGTCTACTGCTAATCAGAACATTGTTTTGCTTTGCTCAAATAAAAAAAAAAAAAAAACAGCAACTAAAATATTAAGTGTAAACTTTAAAGATGAGAGGAAGTGTGTTGATAATTTACTGCGCTGTGTCCCAGTGGGTTGCATTTATCAGTGGGGGAAGCACTGCATGTCTTCTACCTTTGCACATTCGGGGGTCTTCCTTTCTCACTGCAGTATTCTTCACAATAAGATAATGGTGGATGAGAAATAACGTCCATCAGATGTGTTATGTAGGAGTTACTGTATGTTACGTTTGCTTCTTTGATATGTAGTTTTATTCTTGTTAAGGCATTGCCAGCATTCTTATCAATGAACAGAGATACAGAACTTTCTGTCCTCATAGTTCTGTTTTCTACATCTGTCGTCAGACAAGGATCATATTAGATGCACCAGACAGCACCTCTTTAAATAAGAAAAAAATATAATGGAGGTGGACCGAGCTGATGACTTTTAAGAAAGTTAAAGAAATGCAGCATCATGCTACACTTTATGCTTCCCTTCTAATAAACCAGTTCAGTGTGACCTTTTATAGAGAAGTCTTTCAAAGATGGGGGCTTTTTTTTTTTAATGCTCTTCTGTATGGCTATGAGTGTAAAGTTGTCCATCATATAATTATTTTAAAAAAAATTGGGTAAAACCTAGAGATGTTTTGAAAAATTGCACAATTTGAGTGAACAAGTCCATTTCAAGTGTAGCACTATGACATAATACACGTTTAGTATTAAAGCTTATCCTGATGCCTGCTTTAAATAACATTTTTTGTAAACTCATACTTTCTATCTTTGTCTTAAGAATCTGAGTGCAGTTTTGGATTTTTTTTTATTTATAAACATACGCTCCAAAAAGGATCTAGAACTAAGTAAAAAATTCCTAAATTCAGTGTGTTTACACTTAATTTGAGAAGGTAAATAAGATGATTTGCCAATGTGATGAGTATACTTATTCTTAAAATAATTAGATAATATGCATTTGAAATATGACAATGCTATTGTGTTTTCTTATTTTAAATGTAAATTGTCTTGTTCCACTTGCAAAATGTCTCACTCTCTTCCTCAATTCAGGAACAAATGACTTTATTTAGATTTCAATTTTATGCAGTGTATGACAGCCTGAAAAAAAGCACTGAAAAAACAAACAAAAGAGATTATTTAATACTTTTTGCCCAACTGATCACAGTGTTACTGTGTCACCTGTAAGACCATTAATTAAATCTGACCTAAATGAAACACTTCCATCCAGCGATCTTATACATAACCAGCTGCTTTGGGCATTTTGGCATATTTCTTACAGCAAGAGACAAGATGTTGACATTTTGTCTTCTTGTTGATCCTTCTGCTTCGGTGTGTGTGTGCGTGTTGGACGGCAGTGACGGAAAGGGGGAGGCGAGTTGAAATAGCACCGCTCTACCTTCTGTGCTGTTTGCAGTCTGTTAAGGGTTTCTATGGAAACCCACAGCCTTGGAAACCTTGCATCGAAGTCCAGAATAAGTGCCTGAGCTCTGGTCTGTTTCTGCCCTCGGAGTGTATCTTACCTCTGTGATTCAGCTTGTTGTCTTGAATCTGTTCAATTCATATTACCTGGAGTTTACAAGCAATAGTTTAAATGGTTAAATGTCTCTTGATCATTAAAAAAGACAAACTCACCTTCAAAGAATAATTGAAAAACTCTTTATTTAATAATTCAAGGGAAGAGACATTATTGTCTAAAATTCTTTAATTTCCCCACATGTTTAATTTATTAAAATTTTCATATATTTTATCTCTAGGAGTAGCAAGAAGTGTGTCATGACTTTGGAGCCCAGATAGCTGAGGTTAATGAGTCATTCCTACAGAACTTGTGAAAAAACTACAATAATAAACAGCATGTCTGTAAGCTCATTGTGACTCAGATGTAGACTCATCAGCCACTGATTTCTATTCAAGGTCATTTCACAAATGTAGTCAGCGTATTTTATTGTGTTGCCACATTTCTCTTTTTAACCAATAACCAAAATGTATTCTAAAAACAAAAGAAAGCACTGAGAGACAGAAAAAAAGTTTTTACCCAATATTTTTTTAAGCTGAAAAATAAAAGTTGACCAAATGCCGAAAAACAAACCTTAAACCAGTTTCCTGTTGGGAATTTGCCAGTACACCTGTTAACACCTTGATAAAGACCTTTCTGTTTTATTTTTACCAAAGTGAGGGCTGTTTATTTTTTATTTTTTAGCTCTTCTGGCATTTAATAAATGCCTGGTGTAATCAGTAATGATACTTTTATATCCAGAGCTCTATTTGTTGTCAATTTAATTTCGAGTCAATGTTTATTTTCTTCTTTTCAGAAAGGTGAATAAAGAAATCCATAATTTCAGATTTAAAAATGTTACAACAGACACAAAGACAAAGTTATTGAGTGATTAGGTCTTAAACCTTTAGTTGGTAAAATTAAGTTTCAAACTTGTATTTTTATATTAATATTAATTCAATACTTTAATGTTATTTCACCAAAACTAAGGCAGCTGCTATTGTTTTTTTGTTTTTTTTAATATCCCAAGTTTTTTGTTCCCCTTCAAGAAGTGTTTATTTTTAATAGTTTCAGTTAAAGTATGCAAAATATCTTTGATGTTAACATATCTGCAAGACAATTTATAACCTAGATAATCAAATAAAAGACTAATCTGTAGGATTTTAAAGCAATTAAGTATTTTATATAGGCGATACTTCTGCAATGAAAATGGTCCGTGCTATAAAAATTATTATTTAGATCGCAATTTATTAGCTTTTAACATTTTATACTCATGTTTGTAAAAGTGTATTGTTATTGTCTGTGAGTCATCTCTTCACTGTCCTAAAAACACAACCTTTGTTTTTTTCTAAATAGATACAATCTAAGCCAGAATTATACCAGTTAGTTGTAATTTTGTAAAAAAAAAGAAAAAACTGTAACAAAAATACACATACTACCCTTTTAATGTAGAAAACCTATTTGAGTTATAGAACTGGTAAATATTCAAAGGCCTGCAAGGTCATTTTTCACAGACTGGAAGGAAAAAGGAAAAGAGTACAGTTGATTTTGAATAAGAATTAGTACAGATATTGGCAACAAACAAGGATATAAAAACAGCTTAACAGATGGAAGTAGGATTTTTATACCAAACTTGGTTGATTGATTGATTGATTGATTGATTTATTGATTGATTGATTGATTGATTGATTGATTGATTGATTGATTGACCAAATGAGTGCTTTCTAGTCTAACCTTACATGACACTTATTTGTAGCTGCGTTGGAAATCAATAATCAAAGGCTGGAAAGCATCAGTCTCAGTATAATTAATCTATATAATGTGTCTCTCCTAGTAAATGATATACAATCTTTAACTTGTTGAACGGTATGTAACCTATACAATAACTTATAAATGAAAAAAAAAAGGTCCGGCTTTATTGGATGGTTATATAACATTTTACAGTGACTGCCATCATAAAACATTATATTTTCTCTGCCATTTATATTTATTGGCCAAGATAAATGGCTGCCATTTATAAAAATGAATAAGCTGTTATTAAATGTGTTGATTATTTCTTAATGCAGCTAATGCCAATGCAATACCAGGAATTTACTAATGACCTGATGAGGGGCCTGTTTGCATTAAATTAACACTGACTTTGGCAGGCTTTTCATCAGACGTCCCATAAAAGTCCTGTCTTGCGTAGGGGGTTTCTATAAAAAACAGTTCAACTTTTTACAGTTTTCCTAGGCTTTAATAATTTATGTTTTTAAAGCCTTCAAAATGTTAAAATCTAAGCTTTATGTTTAATCTGTTCAATAGAATCTCTAATTACATGGAGACTGATGATGTGCTGTCACAATGTTGATGCATTCTTCATTAAAGCTTAGCTTTGAACAGTTTATGTTCTCCAGTATAGCGCTTGTCAAACTTGGAAAAACATCAATGTTAGCATAGTTTAAATCTTATTTTTACTCTTAATGTTTTTATGCAAATTTTTTTTTACTGATTAAAATACCTTTAAACAAAAATATTCCTCAAGACTCCAGCAAATCTTTTCTTAAAAAAAGACCTGATGATTTTTTCATCCAAGGAACAATTTTATTTTTTGATTTTTAGTTGGTCATCTTGTTTTTTAGATGAATACCAAACACATCTAAATACATTTTCTCTGAACTTTAATCATTGTTTCACATTTTTAATATTGGAAGCTATGTGTCAATTCCACATCTTTATTATTTTTTTTTATATATATAGTTTACTAAGTTAATTTTAGCCTGGGACAATTATCCCATTACTTGTAGACTTGCCTTCGTGCCAGTCCAAAAATATCTGCAAAGACTCTTACATTTAAAACTATTAAGGAGCTGAAGGAGCATCTGTGTCACTCTCCTTTAACGATAATTTAACACTAAGGTTGTTAAGTCTGGGACTAATCCCCTGCTTGAAATACCACTAAGGGCATTAGATGTATGTATCTCCAGCTTTGTAGTGAAGACCCACTGGATCTGACATTTGTCCCAACCAGCAGTGATAAGATTTATGTCAAAGGCAACAAGGCATTGTCACATGGCATAGATACAATGCACATAGATGTGTAGCACCAGATCTATTTGAACTTAAAACACATTCTCAAGTGAGTTTCAAAATTTTATTATAATAAATATACTAGATTATATTTACATGACCTGAAACTGCAGTATGGACTGTATGTACAAATCTTCCATTCACATGTAATGTTTTTACATTCAAAACTGCAAGAAAACCCTGAATAGAAAGAACTGGCTTAACAGTGAAAAGGTGCAATAACAAATGACAGTGCACATCTCATCCTCCTCATGCAGCCGCTGAAATTTGATCGAGTTGAGTGAGACGCAGGTCCATTACAGTGCGGTTGCAGAGATTATTATGATGCATTAAAATTGTGCTGACAGGAGTGTGGAACAGTGCGGATTTGTGCACACCCTACCAAAGTGATGAGTTGGGATTAACTGCTGGCTCTAGTTTCCAAAGGCATATAAAACATGAACCGTATTTTTAGAGTAGATGTTTCTCCTGTTGTTTGGACACATCTGATTCTTCTGGATGAAAGTGAGACTTTAAAGCATCAGTCAGATGGACATCACCGGGGATACTTAACCATCGCCAACATTTACGCTTGAGCTTTTCCACTAATCCATTTGGATTACGTGTGGTGTATATCCCCTTGATGGCCAGACACTATCACGTAATTTTTGACTATTTTTTTTTTCCACTCCTCCAAAAATACTTGACCTATTCCCCCTCCAAACGGCTTTAAGGACTCGTGGCCATTCTCTCTCATGGGCACACTGACTTTAATGTACTAGTCTATGTTCTATTAAGTGCAACTCCTTTGCTCCATCAAATACATTCACAAATCCATAAGATTTATAACTTTGGGTAATATTTTTTTTCACTGCTCCAAGACCTCCCTCTCTGTCTTGTGAAGCTCTTGCCTTTTCACACGGCTTCCTACTGTGGAAGAAGGTGTCCTTCTTGCTCAGATAGATCCCTACATATTGACAACTAAGTATCCCAGGACCAGAGCGACAGCTACGATGATGAAGAACACCACCACGGCGCCAATGGACGCAGAGCTCCCCTCCCTGCCATTTCCACCTTCATCATCTTTGGGCTCCTCTTCGCAGATGGAGATCACACCCACGGAAGAGTTCCCCACACTCATGTTGGATTTGAGCTCCGCGCCCGCTTCCTGTTTGGCCACCACCGCCCATGGTGCCACCTGAACCTTCATCTCCATCTCCTCCATCATCTGGCTCACCTGGGTGATCTCGCTCTGCAGGTCCCTTAGGTCCGCCGTGTCGATGTTACTGTCCGCCTCATACTTCATGTTCTGGACGCTCATGGCCCGGGCGGCCACCGCATTGGTGCTGCCAGTCATGCCCGTCTGGATGAGGTGCCTGGTGGGCACTTTAAGCGGAAAGTCCTGCCCTATCTCCAAGGATCTCTTCATGTCCACCTCCAGAAGCTCCATGCTGCTGGAGAACAGTACCCACAGGCGCTCGTACTCCGCTCGGTCCTCTGTGCTGATGGTTTTGTCTTTGAGCAGGGTGGTCAGTTTAGTCCTGTTGGCCACAGCCAGCTCCTGAGCTTTTTTGCGGGTCTTCTTCAGCTCCTCGCGAAGGTTCTGGGAATCTGATGTGCTTCCCAGAGCGATGACCAGGTGCCTGTAGCAGGCTGTGACTTTGTTCAAAGCATCCAGCATTGTTTTACACTCCTCTTTCCCCATGACTGGTGAAAAAATATATATTATACTCCTTTTGAAAATGTGAAACAACAAACTAAAGTATTTTAGGGTGAAAAAGTGAGGTTAGTGGAGGTGCCTAGGTCCCTCTCCTCAGTTCAGTCTCCACGCCTGCTCTACAAATCCACACAGTGCTCCAGTCAAAGGAAAAGCATCCCTATCCATGCTCCCTCCTGCACCAGCAGGCACACAGAGCGGCTTAGAAAGAAAAGCTTCCCTCACCTAAAAGGCTTTAGGTTACATTTGCGCTTCCTCAAACGGCATCACAGCCCGTCTCCAGTAGATAGTGGGAAACAATCCGAGATTTCTGAGGCTGTGATCCACAATCAGCTACAGGTGCTCCGACATCCGCCAGTGTTCGGGAATAACGCGGCAGCAGGGAGAAAATGCTGTTTTCATTCAGCACAAAGAGAGGAGGCTGCTGGGCGCCCACCGCCAGGAGCGCATCTAGCCATGGCGCCTGGGCGCGGCGCTGTTCATCTGCGTGGGGAGCTGTCCACTTCTCCACCCGTGTCGATGGTGTTTAAATAGCAGAGAGCGCTTCCAGCGGTCACATGTGAACGCAGAGCAGGGCCATTCAGAGGGCAGGTGAAGGGATTACACAGGCAGCTGCTTTAGCTGCGTCCTGTCATTGGCTGCTCTGTCCACAAAATGGGCTGAAAGCTGGATTTCTAACATACACCCCCCCACCCCCCAAAAATGCTAGAACATTTTTATTTTTTAAAAAGTCATTCCTGACCTACTGTAGTGATATCCTGAAACTAACTCATTTTAATATTAAACATCACAATGTGTATTTCTGTAATTTCATTCAGCCAATGATTTTTTTTGTTTGTTTTCCATGATACACTTTACAGTTGATATGACATGATAACAGGTATTGCCTGCTTTAAGTGTGAAACAAAGCTTCTTAAATGCAAAGGCGTAGCCAGAAGATTTCTATAAGGGTGGCCAGACAGTAACCAATGTACACTGAAGGCGGTACCCAGGAGTGGATCTAGATGAGGGGCCAGGGGTGGCCATGGCCACCCTTAGCTAATCATTAGCCTCTCCTACCATTTTTTCCCTCTACTACAGACGATGGCAGCAGTAATACTCTGAAGGGGATTGTTCAAGCTTATTAAACATTTAAATTTTTCATATATTAACAACTACTTGACAACAGAAACACTGTGGTTAATGTTGCACATCAATATACAAACATGAAAGATGATAGATACAGAACATCTCTCACAAATATACACGCATATTTATACTTGTATGTTGTCTAAATTGGTTATGATTGTCAGGATTTGCTTGTGGTTTGTGGACCCAAATGCAGAGGCAGGGAAGCAGAGGTGAGTTTCTTGATGATTTAATGATGAATAAACAAAATACTGAACACAGAGGCAGGAAATCCAAAAATCAAAACATGAAAACAAAGTCAAACAAACCAGAAACCATGGAGACATCAGGGGGAAGACTATTACGAGGAGGAAGACTCAGAGAGTCGGAGTTGGAGGAAGTTTGACGAGGAACCAGCACTGAGGAACTGAACAGAGGGTGTATTTATGGGAGACTGAAACAAAGAGAGGACTAAGGAGCAGATTGGGAGCAGGTGTGAACATGGCAGACGGGAAAAGAGCTAGAGAAAGAAGAGAACACAAGAGGGCAACAAGTAAAAACCTGAAAACAACCAGAAAACACAACAAAATAATTAAACCACTAAAACAAGAAAACATGGAGCAAAGTAAAACTCAAAACTCAAAAGAAAACATAAAAGAACCAGAACTATGACAATGATTCTGTGTCATATACAAATTGAATGGCTTGAGCGGTGGTTCTTAATCTTTTTTTTTTATATAAAAGACTCTTTCATGACTGCAGAGACTTAAAATATTGCCTTCTTCCACCAAAAAACACCTACTTCTGAAAAGAAATTGAATTCTGTATATGATCATTTTCATGTGAATATTTACATTATTAATGTGATTGTTTTTTGTCAGTTTATTGTTGATATACTAAAAACTGAAAAATCATCAACCTGACCACCCCTGGCCCCACTTAGCTCCGCCCATGCTCCAAAAACCAACATTTCAGAATTGTTTTTATTAACACTTAAAAAATGTAAGTGCCAATTATACCTTTATGTGAAGACATTTAGGACCTATATTGATAAAGCATGCATTTGACTTTTTAAGACTAGCATACTTCATAGATTTCACTTAATAGGAGTGTTTGATGCCACAACTACTGCCCTCAAACATTATTCAGACCACCAACTATGGCCGCCGCTGTACACATCATCAGCTGGATAATGTGTTGTTAGTTAGTTGGCTCCTGCTGTGCCAAGAGGCATGAGGCAGATAAGAAGGCTGTGAGGGATTTTCCTTCTTTGCTCTTTCTACAATATTGAAGCGGATGGGGCCTAATGATCCATTGACTGCAGTGTAGAGCTAATGGACTAAAGAGCAGGGGATGCCTCTAGGCAGAGAGAGGAATCATTGTTTGTCTATGACAATTTACTCTTTATCTTTGCTGCAGTAAAAAAAACTGCTTTGGTCATGAAACTGCATGCATAGTTCTCACACTATCATTATAATCTAAAAATGTCATATTTGTCTGAATATTATGGGGTTAAAAGAGGAAGAGGTTTGGTATGAAGACCTGCAGACTAAACCACCATGAACATGCAATTATAGATCCAGTTACTCCTGCTTTATAGCCTCTTCCAGAACTGCTAAAGGAAAAAGGAAAATGTCTCTGTGTGTTTTTCTGTAATGAGATTGCAGATCATCTGAGCTGTTGGACTCAAGTGTGTTGGATGAGTCAGACATGAGGTGGTCTGATTGCTCTCAGAGTGAACACATCAGAGAAAATTTGATCTTTTTTTGTTTTATGCACAGGTTCCCGCAATGCTCTCATACGCAAGCAAGTACCAGAAGCCAGAGAGGTTACTCATACTTTTACACAGACCAGAAACACACATAGAATAATCACACTTTAATTATTGCTGTGATTTGGAAAAAAGCTGGAATATCTCATTCGAAATTAGTAATCTGTGTCACGTCAGTTTAATAGTATAAGACTGCTGTAATGTAAATCCTTTGTTCTTCCACTGTACTTGTCAACGAAAGTTACAGCCAGAGGCAAAGAATTAAATGAATCTTTTTTTTTTTTTGTTAAATGTATCAGAAGCATCTATGCTCACTACTTTAAAATCATAGATTTGGGGAGAGATGCAGTCTAGTCCATTTAAATGGTTGAATGCAAAACTAAGAAATAAAGACATCAGCAAATCTCATAGAAAGCAGCTGCTGCCTGATGCCCATCGCTTTAATGAGTTATAGGGTCTTTTTTAGTATAAAATATCTTTTTTTTAACTGGAAAATACATACCACAACTTCTTCTACTATTTCTGGGAAGTGATGTTCCAGCAAATCAGCTCAAGATTAGATTGTAGATCCTTAAGAACACCACAAAAAACTATGAGCATCATTTTAAACTGCACCCTCGACGGGTTTCTAGTCATTTGCTGGATGCATACTTATAGCTATGGATTTACATAAGCTACAGATACCTAACTTAAAAGTCTTTTATGGGACTGTGGGAGGAAAAGGGAGTTACAGTAGAGACATCAGGTGTGCACAGTAAGAATATGACTACAAACCACCTTACCATAAATCAAAAGTGCTAACTTCTGTGCCAGCATGGATTCCTCCATTGTATTTGGAAGGAGTAAAGGAAAATACTTTAATTATTCAATTAATGAGTTCAAAAATGATTACATTACTAACTCTAGAGCCCCTAAAAACCTCAGCTGCTAACAATTTAAATATACATATGATTTAAAGTCTCTTAACAAAGATTTGGACCCAGTCACTTTTGATATAGATAAGGTTAGAATTTGGATTAACTCAATTTAATGGGTATTTATAATTCCACAAAGTTTGAAAAATAATATTTTTCTAGATTTCTCTTTTTTTCTTAAATTTGTCTTCATTAAGATCTTAATACTCAAAGCTAAGTAAATCTTACTTATTGGATTTATTCTGTCCTGCTTACTGAATGGATGTAATGATTTATTATTCAGCTTTTACAAGATTTGCCAAGATGTGTTGGGGTTTAAATCAAGGTCTGGTGTTGAATTTTTCCTATTTACTAATTTAAAAAGATTCAATTTATGTTCTAGCTAACTTGCTTCTATGAAGCCATTGATTTACTTATTTATTTTCTCATTTATTTATGTATTGTTGGTCTTAATGGGTAAATGTTTCCTGCTGTACCGAGACATTTGTCTTTTATATGTGTCAATCCTAAAATTGTTACCTCAATTATTTAAATATTACTTTATCAATGTTTTTACCATATTTTTAACACAAAGGATGTCAAAAAACTTAATTTTTTCCCTAGTCCACTTTTCCACGAGACATTTTATCTCTTTTTTAATGTGATGCTCATTTTCTAATAAAAAGGACAATAAATGTACATTAACGTTTCCTTTGGGACAAGTAGGAAATATTTGCTCTGCTATTAGATGTCGTATCAACACCAAGAGCTAAGTATTCCCTTGAAGCCAAACAAAATCTGCAGACTAAAGACTGATGCCTTCAAATGATTCATCCTTAATCCAGATTAACACATTTCTGAAACTCTCAGGATTATGAGTGTTATAACCTACACACTAATGGATCTTTTAATGTATAATTTCAAATGCTTAGCTAGACATTTTTTTTTTACCGTACAGTATATGGTTGCTGTTTTTAGCAGGAAATGGAGCTCTGCATTAAAATGTCAATGACTCTCATCTTAAACCCTTGTGGTAATCTAAGGAGAAAAATATCTGGCCCCACTTAAGTCAAAGTTTACTTCCTGCTGAAAAGAAAAAGGAAAACAAAAACAAATACACAGGCACCTTAATATTGCACTTACCATCCAACCTAAAGAACAAAATATCAAGGATCAGATTCAGACATGAACAATATCCTGTCAGACAAAGAACAAGGGTCTTCATGCTGAAAGATAGTTTCAGTTCAGACGTATAAATAAACTGATTCCATCCTTTTACACATTTATTGAATGATTTCTACTAGTGTGATCGTATTTGGGAAGCTTATGATTTATTACAGGTACGTTTTTCATGCAAACCATTAAAAACCACAGTTTTCAGACCTTTTGTAAAACTAATTCGAATGTGGGTAAATATATGTAAGTCTTAGAGACTGTGCATATTTCCATTCTGTCTATGAGATTGACTTCACCACATTTACTTTAATAATCATTTGACG